CACCAAAAAATTTATATTTTTTTCTTCTTTTTTTTATTTTAATGGAAAAAATAAATTAAATTCTACCATCGCATTAAATACAATGAATTTCATCGTCCACAAGGACCTGAATGAATACCCCCAGCAGCACACTCTAGGGTGCTCAGATCGATCGGTGCACGCACACACTTTTTCTCTGGTTTCTCTGCATAAACGAAATAAATAAAAAAAATAAATGGGTTAAACAAAGTGCCAGAGCCCACTGGCTCCACAGAAGTGCAGCAAGCATGCACAGGCCGATGAATTCTGTGTACTTTCATGTGGGGGGCCCCTGAGAGAGTAGTAAACTCGCTCTAGAAAGCAGCTGGTGTGATCGTGTTCCTTTTTATAAACTAAACCAAGTGCATGCATCAGCTCCACACACCACTGCACACCCTCTGTGCTCCTACGCTGGGCCTTTGCATGCGTTTGTTGCAACGGGGATTCTCGATATTGTATGGGGGCTGTCGCGAGCTACAACAGAGCCAAAACACAGGAAATAAAACTCTGCAAGAGGCAGCTGAACTCCTGTCCAGTCCGCAGCCAGCCTGAGATTGAAAGCCCAAGGGCTTGGGGCAAGGGGAGAGAGCGGAGCGAGTTGATACGAGGTACAACGCAGCACGTTGAAGTACCTGCTGCAGGAGAAGTCCGTGTGCATGCACAGCCAAGCACCCTCTCAGCGCTTACTTCGCAGCCAGTAGCCAGCCAGCAAATAACTAGGAAAGCACAGACTTACTTCACACAGAAGGTGCTACATTTGTTACAGAGGNAGCCAGCCAGCAAATAACTAGGAAAGCACAGACTTACTTCACACAGAAGGTGCTACATTTGTTACAGAGGATCTACAAAGAGCGTCAACGCTCCTAACAGCGCAAAGGCGCCGAAGGAAACGACGGAGAAATGCATGCACACCGTCATGGTGCTCTTATGAAGACAGTGATCGTGGAGCATTGGATCCACTTGACACGAAAGGAACAGCTGAACTGTGCACAGGTAACAGAAGAATTCTCAGAGGTACATACAGCACACTCCCGGGGGACCGGGCCCCCACTGGGCGTCCACTGCTCCGCAGCGAACTCACTGCCGGCGCAGCGCCACGGTTGGCTCCGAGGCATATGTTACTAGGGCTGCTTGATGAGAGCGCCAAACATTTTCTCTTAGAATTAATGCACTTGGAAATTCACTATACTGCAATATAATATGTAATATATCACACACTCAATGCTAAACACGCCAAAACTCAAGTGCCAACTAGCGAGTTTCAGTACAGCCCCATGAGGGCGGGGTGCATCCGCCTCCACTTCAAGCCCCTCAACAAGATCGCGGTGAAACAGATGTTTCGCTTGCTCGCTGTATCAGCGAACTCCTTGTGCACCTGCACGGTTCAGCTGTCTACTCGTCGTTTGTCTTTGGCGCCGTGGTGTTGCAGGTCACGACATACCCCGCAAGAATATACGAGGTTTTTNCTCGTCGTTTGTCTTTGGCGCCGTGGTGTTGCAGGTCACGACATACCCCGCAAGAATATACGAGGTTTTTACAGTGGCCATAGATGCAAACACCAATCAGCACGCAGCGAAGCACGCAAAACTACCCGCGCACAACTGTCAAGTCTGGCGACAGCCCTTGCTATCCTGCATTGAGGATATCAGTAAGAAACTGCGTTGGCAAGCATGCGCGCTGCAGCTGCAGTGTTGAGGCCACAGATATTTTTACTTCTCCAAGGCCACGCCGCCACCCCCTAGGTTCACCAGGTGATCAAAGAGTGCTCTGCCCCCCCGCCCTGTCTTGCTGCGGAAACTTTGAGAATGCATTGCGCGCCGCTCGCCGAGGGTGCGCTGTGGAGATCCGAGCAGTTATCCACTATCTCCTCATGGCGTTGCCCCTCTAGATAAACAAATATTATACCGGGTGTAAGCTACAAGACAAAGCTGCACCTGCAGTGTACCCAAATTGGCTGCTGCGGGAGCTTATAAGCGGACTCGTATCCGGAGAAGTTGCGCCTGTAGATGAAATGATATTTATTCCACTTTCTGGTGGCATCAGTGAAGTTGAAGGGTAGAGAACCTTTTTCCGTTATTTATTTTGCGCGTTTGTATGCGCGGTTTGTTATATAAGATGTTCTGTCAAAAGGCAGTGGATGGATGTAGACCTAAGCGGATGCCTGCTAGTGAGAACCAAGCAAATGCTCAAGAGCTGTCTGCGGTGTTGGTGGACACATCGAGCTGGGGATCGTCTCTGCTTACATATGGGATCCCCGACGAGACTGCTCGGGCTTAGCCGCGGGCTGCACTGTTGTGCTGCACCAGAGCTAAAACTAAGAAGACGAAAGCTCACGCAGAGCAACTGATTTGACCCGCAGCCCCCAGGCATTCTGAGCGCAGCAGCTCAAGGGTCTGAGGCCGCTGAGGAGAGGAGCCGGCGNACCCGCAGCCCCCAGGCATTCTGAGCGCAGCAGCTCAAGGGTCTGAGGCCGCTGAGGAGAGGAGCCGGCGTGCGGTGGCCTGGGGCGTACCTCGCTGCAACTGGTGTTGCAGGGGGACCCCACTCGGAAACACAGCCAAGCCCCCTTTTGGTGCATGCACTGGGGCTGTAGAGAACTCCCAAGCTCTTGCTTGGCCCTTGAGAGCCCAGCTGCATGCAGAGAGAAATCTATAGAGCAGCAACAGCAGAGCTAGCAGCATAGCTACAACGTACCCAAGGAGGAGAGAGTAAGAGGGGTCGAGCGCTACGCAAATATCAGCACTGCCCCGCTGAAGTGAGTTTGTTTTATGCATTAGAATTTAAAAAACTGGCTGCTGAATATTTTTTTCAATTCCTTTCATGTTGAATATTTTGCGGTGTACATACACCGCAATTCAGGAACCCGATCTAGCGAGCGACGGCGGCGCTCAGGGGTCAGCTGGGGTCCTGCTGGTTGCTGAGAAAGCGTGAAGAATATAAAAGTATTTTCAACAGAATAAATTAAATATGCGAAGAAAAAAAACGCAAAAAAAAGAAAAGAAAAACCCTGAAGCGGCACCCAAAGCAGCAGATGGTATGAAGGCGTTCTGGCTGTCGCTCTCATGGTGTGCGACGACGGGATGGAGGGGGGTAAGCAGCAAGAATATATTTTTAGTGTAATATTTCTGTTTTATTTCAGTTTAATATTTTTATTAAATAAAATTATATTAATAAAAAGAAAGTACAATATCAGGAAGCGACATAGGTGGTGGGGACCACCACCCGCTTACTGTATTGGCGTGAACGGTCACTAGCTCATATAATGTATAAAGGTATTTTATCTGTTGAATTGTATTTCTTTGTGTTTTATAGAAATGTATTTCTTCAGGTGTATGCACACTTCAGGTTGCAGCAGCAGGAGAAGAGGCAAAAGCAGCAGCAACTGCTGCGGCACCGCCAGGAACGGCAGCAGCAGCAGCAGCAGCAGCAGCAGCAGCAGCA